ACGCCGGCCGCTCTCCCTCACTCAAATGCACATGAGTGAATACTGCCCCCCTCCCCCGGTCTCGGCCTTTTGTTCACATTTTCACATGTCGACCACCGTGACTGGGCCCGGCGATGACGAGCCAGTTGTCCGTTCTCCCTCCCCCTTTTGACCCAGCAACGGCGGCTACTATGGTAACCACTCTTCAAGCCACCCCACCACCACCACTGACTTCAAACCCGTACAACCCCCCCTTTGCCGCAACAGTATTTTCTATGTTCACGTCCACACCCCCCCTTTGGCGCTGGTGTATTCAGACCATTTGGAGCCCACAGGAACTGCCTCTTGAAATCTTATAAAACCAGACCCACGCCCCCTTGACCGACTCCCTTTGCTCGTGACTTGGATTATCCATTGTTAAGGTTTGTGTATTTATATGTTACTATTTCTCTTAATAGTACCGCACCACCTTGATAGTCGTTATCACTGTTTTGGCGTACGCGTGACTGCTGAATACAGTCGGAGAAGGCAATGGACGAAACAGTTACTATACGGGTTTTTGTAAGATCTTTCAAGAAAAATACATACTGGTTGGCCAGAAAGCTGCGAGTTTTGTAGGTAATCATCTTTCCGAGTATTTTAATCTAGCGGTGGAGTTTTATGCATATTAACGTCTGATCAAAATATACACTTGAAAACTGGGAGTATAGTAAATGTGTTTCTGCAGAGCATGTACGGGAAAGACACGCTTTTAGTATGCTGCTAAATGATATGGATATATAGTAAACACTTAATATCTGAGTTTGTGAGACCGTCTATTCCTGAGGACAGTGAGTTTTTATATGGCTTACTTTTTTCTGAATACGGACGACTGTAATGAATTATATGGATCTCAGTAGTGAGATATTTTCGGTAAGAACATTTATCTTTAGCCCAAGTCATCGAGGAGAAAGCTATTATTCAGAAGAGGAAGAAGAAGAAGAAGAAGAAGAAGATGCGATCACTGGAACAAGATTTTAATTTTCCTGACGTTTCAGATTCTGTCGAGATTCTGTCGGATTCTGCAACCTGCGCAATCCTTCTCTGATTTGTTCAGTCCCACTTGGACTACGCCATCCAGGTCTGGCGTCCTTGCTTTAAGAAGGATCATCTGCAACTTGAACAATAGTAAGCGAAGCCTACGAAGATGGTCAGAAACCTTCGGCATCTGCCTTACGAAAACAGACTTGCTTAAGTTGATTTGTTTTCTCTCAATCACAGGCACCTAAGCGGTGACCTCATTCAAACCTACCGAATTGTCAGAAGCCGTGAGTGCGCCCTAGGATTTGATGACTTCTTCGAATTGGTTCAGACGGACTATTTGCGGGGTAATTCCTTTATATTACAGAGGAAGTTGACTTATGGGTCGTTCGACGGAACGCCTTCTAGCAAATGGTCCTTGGAGCGTAGAACAGACACCCACCGTAGGTGGTGTTGCAGAAATGGTTAAGACATTTAAATGCAAACTCGATTCTCATTTGCTGGAAAACTGTTACACCTATAAGGAATGTTGTGTCAGTAGCGGTAGCCTTCGACTGGCTTACACATATCGCTGACATGAAATCTGCATTTTTCGTATGTACTATTGCAAAAGATTTTTGTTGCGATTGTTGGCCATGAATAGGAAACTCAGGGTGAAAATTTTATTCCCTCAACAAAGTGACTTATACTCCCTTCCGCATCCACCAACTCTAAACGCCCTCATTTCCTTGCTTTCATGTTTATCTTCCTTTGGAATAATCTGCAAGTCTATATTAGGTTGTAAGGTAACCTCTATGATTTAAAGCGAAGACAGCACATTATCTTAATGGTGACTCGATTAACCTTTTAGGTTCCTTCTCCTTCCCGAGCCTTGTCCTCCGTGACATTGAGAGATTATCATCGGGAATGTGGAAGGTCATTTTAAATTATTTTATCAACTTACAATTTTCCTCGTTCCACGGGCTTGCACACACCATCATAAACAACCGCAGAAAGGTTTATAAAGGCACATGTTACACCATATATGCAATTCATAGTGACAAGCGATCACATACATTCTAAATTTAGTAGCCCTTGCCAGCTATCCCTTGCTGACGTGCCTTTGATCCAACGGATGCCGCCCAGTGTTTTTACTCTTTGATCGAATGATTTATTCAAATTTCCCCACTCCCCACCACTCACTTAGTGTGCCAAGTAGTCACCTGGAGGATTTTAAATTGATTGCTTAGGAAATCCTGCTTGAGTAGCCAGCTTGCTTGTCAAAATTAGTGGAGTCCATACGTTGCAGTAATCTGGGCGTGTACATCTACCTAATTGTGTTTAAACTCACAGCTCCTGCCGGAACTATCTTCACTCATTTGGCTAGATCGTTGCTGTACTAAAGTCTTCCCCTTGCGGGCGTGGGTTCGATGCTGACTATAACGCTGGGTTTTGCGTAATCGGGTTAAATTAATCAGCAGCTCTCGTGAGCATCGTCTAGGATCGTGATTGATGTGGTGATGGCTTGCAGTCTACGGCTGAGCTATTAATTAGCGCAATTTCATCATCTGTGTTGGGTTTTGGATGTTGGCTTGATGATTATGCAACTCCCTATTATCGAAATTGTTGATAGCCCGCGGATCCCCACGTGCTCAGATGAAGCCTCAGTACGGAATGCAGGAACGGCGAGTCATTACGCCTGTTGATGGAGTGTGACCACAAGGATCATGACTCAAATAGCTCGCGGCTCAGGAGTAATTCAATAGTCTTTTAGTGACCCTAATCCGCGCGCAAAGTTTGCCACTCACGGTGCGTGCATACCAGTGCCTGTCTTCCTCAATCCAACCTGGATACTCATCGCCCTGAAACTGACTCACAGAAAAACCACGATGTAGATCTTGTGACAGCTGCCATGCTCACACATTTCGGACACCAAACTTGTGCACTCGTCCGACTGTCAAATTCATCCAAACTATTCTTCACTATTACCGTACATATTACACTGTTCCTCCCAACTGGCGTCTCCTTTCTTCTCTTCCCATAAGGAACTGGGCCTGAAGATCGCGGCGGTAAGTGTTTTATTTATTAACTTAAGCTAGTATGACATTGGTGACCGCAACACGAGCTGAACTCGCAACTTCTACATGTGACTGAACTAAACCATCATTCAACCTCCTTTGAAGTCAAATGAATTTTCCCTGCGTCATCTTATATGGCCGCGAGATGGAGAATTTAGTCCTCAGTAATCCGTCGT